GGTGCAGGTTGGTGCAACTTGGTGCGGTTTGGTGAAACTTGGTGCGGATTGGTGCAATTTGGTGCAGGATGGTACAACTTGGTGTAGGATGGTGCAACTTGGTGCAGGTTGGTGCAACTTGCTGCAGATTGGTGCAACTTGGTGCAGTTTAGTGTAACTTGGTGCAGGATGGTGCAACTCGGTACAGGTTGATGCAACTTGGTGGAGGTTGGTGCAGCTTGGTGCAGTTTGGTGAAACTTGGTGCAGATTGGTGCAAGTTGGTGAAACTTAGTGCAGGTTGGTGCAACTTGGTGCCGTTTGGTGCAACTTGGTGCAGGTTGGTGCAACTTGATGCAGATTGGTGCAACTTGGTGCAGTTTTGTGCAACTTGATGCAGTTTGGTGCAACTTGGTGCAGATTGGTGTAACTTGGTGCAGTCTGGTGCAACTTGGTGCAATTTGGTGCTGGATGGTGCAACTTGCTGCAGGTTGGTGCAACTTGGTGCAGTTTGGTGCAGGTTGGTGCAGTTTGGTGCAAGTTTGTGCATATTGGTTCAGGTTGGTGCAGCTTGGTGCAGGTTAGTGCAACTTGGTGAAGATTGGTGCAACTTGGTGCAGATTGATGCATGTTGGTGCAAATTGGTGCAGGTTTGTGCAACCTGGTGCAGATTAGTGAAACGTGGTGCAGGCTGGTGCAACTTGGTGTAGATTGGTGCAGTTTGGTGGAACTTTGTGCAGATTGGTGTTATTTGGTGCAGGGTGGTGCAACTTGGTGCAGGTTAGTGCAACTTGTTGCAGGTTGGTGCAACTTGGGACAGATTGGTGCAACTTAGTGCAGATTGATGTAGTTTGGTGGAGCTTGGTGTAATTTTGTACAGAGTTGTGCAGATTGATGTAGTTTTGTGGAACGTGGTGCAGGTTGGTGCAACTTGGTGCAGATTACTGCAAATTAGGGAAGTTTGGTGCTATGTGGTGCAGTTTGGTGTAACTTGGTTAAGGGGGTGCAGTTTGGTGCAACTTGGTGTAGATGGGTACAACTTGGTGCACTTTGGGTCAGTTTGGTTCAACTTGATTCAGACTTGTGCATATTGGTGCTCTTTCGTTCAGTTTGTTGCATTTTTGTGCAGATTGGTGCATGTTGGTGAAGATTGGTTCAGTTTGATGCAACTTGGTACAGTTTTTTGTAACTTGGTGCAGATGGGTCTTGGGTTAGATTAGTGCAACTTCATGCAGATTTGTGCAGTTTGGTGTAGATGGGTTCGGTATGTTTCAGTTTAGTTCAACTTGGTGCACATTGGTGCAGAGTGGTTTAGTTGGTTGTAACTTGGTGCTGGGTTGTTCAGATTGGCGGAACTTGGTGTAGATTGGTGCAGTTTTGTGCAATTTTGTTTTTACACTTATTACAGTCAGGTTCTACATAATTTTGTTGGTATTTTATGCAGCCATAGTACATTAGTACATCTAGTATGGCCGTGTTCTATTTTATTCGGTCATAGAACGTTAGTACACTTAGTATGGCCAGGTTTTTATGTTGGTATTTTACTCGGTCTTAGTACATTAGTACGCTTAGTGCAGCCATGTTCTATGTATGCTGGTATCTTATTTGATCGTAGTATGGCCATGTTCTTTGTACGTTAGTACCGTCAGTAGAGCTGTGTTCTACATTTTTTGGCATTCTATTCAGTCTTAGTACGTTAGTACCCTTTTGTACAGCTATGTTCTATTCTGCCTTGTTATGGTTGGTATGCTTGGTACGGCCATGTTCCATTTTCACTGGCATGCATGCATGGCTTTATTCAGCTTTGTCAGTCATGTTTTACGTCTATGAATTGGTGATTTCATGTGGAATAACGTTATTTAAGAAATAAGTTGCACAGTAAACACAGAGCGCAGAACATAACAAAGACAACTGATAAATAAAAACATGCAGTGACTTAAGGGGAAAGCCCCTCTTCATGCTTAACATACTGGAGTAGTAACTAAAGACATCAGAATCCAATATACACAAAATCTGAGAATTCAAGAAACTCACTAAATTCCAAGTACACTTGCCAGGTGTACTAAGCGAAAAAAAAATTGAAAGTGGTGCCTAGAATGTGCAATGTGCATCTGTGGCTGAGAAGGGTACATGAATATTTTCCAGCAGGTTAGTCTGGGATAATTTACATGTGCATGTATAAAGAAATTTGGTCTAGAATAAAGTTCTATCATTAATTTCTGAAAAATTGATCAGTATCATGAAGGGTAATTCTTGGCACTGATCAAAACAATTATTATCATAGTTGCTGGTTCAAAATTAGTCTCTAATTTTTATGCTACAACCAGTTGCAAAAATCATCTTGAGACACTCAGTTGGGCTCATTTGGCATGTCCATGATCTTGTGTTTGTGATCTCCCCTGCCCCACTCCTTTGCCAAAGTTGCATACAAGACCATCTCAATTTTTTGAGGAACAACTTTGAAGTGAGGGGAGGGAGGGGTGAGGGTTATAATTATCTCTCAGATGTGTGGCTACAGCTGTAGCAGTGATTTTTAATGAAAACAGCTTTTTTGTAACAGTAAAGAGGCAAAATTGACATTGAATGTGGTAAGTCATATCTAGTGTGCTAGTAGCACCCCCCACCCCCCCTAAAAAAATTAAGAGTACCCCCCTCCCCCTGGCCTTCAACACACACAAGCTTTATTGACAACCAAACAGGAAAATGATGCAAAATGTTGTACATCTTTGCCTTGCAGTACCTTATGGAGGGAAACTACAACAAGGTATTAATAATCATTTCTCAATAAAGAAAACTAACACAATTTCTTTTTTTTTTGCATTATTCCAGGAGTGTAGCTCTGATTCATTTAAATTTGGTTGATTAATTATCCGAATAAGCAACAAAATTTGAAGGTGAATTCATTTTTTTTTAGGTCTTTCTTGCAAGAGGAAATGTACCAGCAGATAATTATCACTTCTTCATGAACATCCTCTTAGATACCCTCAGGTAAGGCTTAAAACATTAAGATGGAATCCATCAGGAAATTGAGTTAGAACTTGAATTTTCAGTGGACAAATACCTTGTACTAGAATATCTTAAGCCATATGGCATTATTTTTTAGACTTTTCAAGGGCTACTTATTAGTTATCTGGAATAACACCAAAGACAATTTCTTGTGGGAGCCCGAGAACATAAAAATTTCAAACTGCACAGGACTTGAGAAAACACAGGTAAAATCACCATGCATAGGATTTCGTTCTATGAAATTTTAAGCTTTTGTAGTTTGTTTTCTTGGGCTGTCATACGAATCTTTTCTTTGGAGTTGTTTCATATAACTTACTACATTTGTAGCCTTTGAAAAGTGTAAAAAAGGATGCAATATGCTTGAAATTGTTCTGTGACTGGTTACTCAATTTCCTAATGGATTCCGCCTTAATTCCTTTTAACCTAGAAGGTTAATGTACATACATGTAGAGGTCCAAATTCATTTGATATTTCATGTGGTAATTTTATTTCAATGCCCTTTAGAGATGAGATAGCAGCTTGCACTGAGAAAGCCTATCCATGTATATCCTTACCAGAGGCAACCAGGATATTGTATTTTGAGAGCGAAAAAGACATGAGGGCTTTTGGTGAGAAGGTAAAATGGTATTCTTATCTTTACCTTTTTAAATCTTTGCTAATTAAGAGTCATGTCTTCTGTAGGACCAAAGTGGACTGTCTTACATGTCTAGAGTATAATCTCTCCTGGTCCAAAAGCTTAACAATTTTCTTAGTCCTATAAAGTTTTGTCAGATCCATCTTGAAAGAGAATGCAGTAACATTATCATAGAACTTGATAGTATCCACAGACAATTCATTATCCAATACATATTTTTTCAGGATTGATAGTCTGTAGACAATTCTTGTGTGCATACACTGTAAGTCCTGTTCTCCTCATCATTTTCACTCACAAAGTTCAAAGTTTATTGAGAAAGTGTTCATGGGTACAGACAATAACACTAGCCTGCAAAATAGAGAGAGCTAATCTAGCCGGCTAGTGGAGAGATTAAGTAGTAAGTTTTACATAATTAATAAATAGCCATTAATAAGCAGGTAGTATGAATGTATATATGCAAATAGATAATTGGCGTTAAGGACTGAAAGGAAGAAATTGGGTAAATAAAGCTACTTTGTGCATACATTTTGAAACTCACAATGACCACTTTGAGTCTTGATTCACAGCTGAGTGCTCAGAGCCAGGGTTTGCCACTCATAAACTCTTCATAATGTTCAGTGTTCTAACTTGGAGGAAAGTGTTCTTGCATTTAGGATGTTTGAAGGAAATGCTAATGGTAACTTATAGTCACAAATGTAACACGCTTGAATGGGCCTTAGGAGTGATTTCCATGTACCATGTATCCAGTAGGGGGAAGGGGAGGAGAGGGGGGCTAACATGATGGTAAGTTTTTTACTTTTTGTACAGCATTTTGATTTTGCTTTCTTTTTCTCCTTCAGCGAGGCTGGATTTTAAAGGAAGATAAATATTATTACTTTGAGCTTGAGAGTGAAAAGGAAACAAAGCAGGAGATCCCATCATACAAAATGATCCAATACATGCTTGAGTATGCTAAAGAATTAGAGAGAATAGTTTGACCACAAAGGTACCAGATGAAAAATGCCCTTTTGTACATTGTCTTGTTTGTATTTCATTTACAGTGATTGATGTAAGTTAAAGGATCATAATACAATATTGACAACTGTCAGATAATGTTATTGTTTGAATTGCTTTGTTTTTTGTTTTACTACTCCTTTGCATTTATGTCTTTGTACAGGTAACACTCCCTTATATTACATCGCTATAAGGTGGACCTCTTCCTAAAGTTGACACCTTAAGTTGATCCCTATGGTTTACAGTGCATTTTCTTGGCTCTCTAAAGAGAGGTGTTTCTCTATGCCTGCCTTCTTGTCTTTTTTCTCACCAGTCAAAAATATTTTCTTCTGATCGACCAAAGTTTCTCCAGCTTTTCACCCCATGAAGGTCTGCCTTGCACCTCTTTAAAGCCAATCATATTTCATTTATGTACTAAATGTTTCAGCTTTTTTGTTTTGGGGTTAGGTTCTATTGATAAATTTTGTTTGTTCACTGTTTTCCCAACCAGTCCTGTGCACCCTTGTTACAGCTGCAAGGCACCTCCCTGGCTTACCATGTAACTCTAAACAGGGTACTGTAGCTTCCATCAGACTTAAAGATTAATATTCAATAAGTTATTTAGGTTGTGGACTGACCACACACACATCTCAGCTTTAAATATTTTTATTATCAAATGCAGTTGATTCGTAATTTTTATTATTTTATAAAGGAATGCTCTTGATACAAAAAGTATTGATAAATTAATAGTAAAGTTTTTTTTAACTTATAATAAGACTAATGAAAGAATGCAAATAATAGATGATATAACAAAACACTTAGCATGATGCTTGTCACGAATTTATGGCCATTCTTAACGCAAAAGTTCAATTCACTTTATTTTAATTATACAATTTTGCAATGTTTTGTCTAGTTCGTTTGTTTTATTCTTCAACCATCCACAAAAATAATGTTATTTTGGTAATGAATTCTGTAAAGGCTGTCATTACTTAGGATGGCATGGAAATACATACATCCACCACACGTCCAATGCAGTAGCCACCTAGAAAAAAAGGGGAGAATTTATGAAATTATAACAATGTGACTAAACCGCTTTCTGATAGTATGGTAGGCTTGAGTACCAGCCACTGTTTGGGAAAATGAGAGGATTAAAGGCTGGACGCGGGAGACGGCGGAAATCAAGCCTAATAGTATGGGGCCTGTAGATAAAGGATCAACTTGTGGGGCTATCACAAGTTGCCTGACAGAATTATTGTAGTTGTCTTTATATAAAGGAGATGTTCTGATTATTAAATTAACTCAATTTTGGGGTTGTACCTCAGAGCTCTAGGGTATTACAGAGGTGGCATCTTTTCCATATGCATATGCTAATTTTCTTAATAATTACATGAATTTTCTTCGTGCCTTGCAATAATAGAGTGTCAGTACTGCAGATTGATTCAGACCCTTAGTCCTCTAACTTCCATGCTGCTTTGTGAAATGCAATAATAAATTAAGTTGTTATGAGAAAGGTGTCCTTTTAATCCATTATTGTGCACAACCCTTGCTGTACCTAGCAAAAACCATTTCTGCATATCAGCCTGGGCATGATTGCCTATTCTTACCTTGCTCGTAAGCATTAATTTTGAATGAGTTGCTTGCTCCACGAATATCTCCATAGATCTCAAAGACATTTTCAAACAAGATGAGGATTTCATCCACTATGTCGATCACAAAATGGACACAATGCCCTAAACAAAATGACAAAAAATACTATTGAAAAAAAATCATGACAGTTTCTTCCTACATAAAATGTGCTGCTTCATTGACAATATTTACTACTGAACTGAATTTTGAGGCCACCTGAAATGAATCATTGCAGTCAAATAGTTACTTATTGCCCTTAGTATTATTGTGTTTTGAGGTTGAGAAATTCCAAAATTCAAAATTCAAATCAAATTTTTGTTAATTTGAAGAATGAATCTTTTTTTTCCATTTATCAGATTCTTTTTTAGTGCAGCAAGGATTGAAGCAGGAAGTGGGAGTCTGCATGGTTATGAGGCCCTACTTTTACTATGCTAGTTCCTTGTTCTGATCACATTTACATCTTTGTAGAATTTTTTAGTACACCCAAGTTCAATTCCTCGTTGAAAAAAAAACCCACTTGCTTCCTGTAGATCCTTTGTGTTTCCAAAATACATTTTGGTGCTATTAGACTCTCACTTATTAACAAAAAATAAAATATTAATGATATAAAAATATTTTATTTAATAATTAAAATTTTATGTGTTCAGGGATCTCATTAAGTGCTGGTAGCCGGCTAAAAAGCGGGCTACTTTAGGGTTTGAGCCATCTACTTTTTGGAGAAATAGGGTTAAGTGGGATAGTGAATGCCTGAAATTGCGTACAGCACTCACTTACACGTACCAAGCCGCCTACATTAATTTATTTTACATCTTGGGTGTCTACTTTAAAACTTAATGAGAACCCTACGTAATAATAGTAATTGTGAATATTAATTAAACAAAAAAATTGAATTGACAGCAAGCTACTTGGACTTTGAGGGTTTGTCCCACCACCTATCCCCTAAGGAAATGGTAGCGACATTAAGTTTTGTTCTCCTTTCAATAACATTTCTTTCTTGTTTACCTTTTACACATTCAATGAAATCCGTTGCAAGCTTTTCAAGTGCTTTAGCAATATCTGTTTCTCCACAATCCTCAAATGCCTTCCCTATCTCCATCAAAGCTGTGCCAAGTAACTCTATTCCTTTGAAAATATCATTGTTTTCAAAGGCAGCGAATGATTCTCTAAATAACTCCACTGTGTGGTTTCCATCTTTGACGCATTTCTCAAAATCAAAGCCTTCTTTGCCCAGTCCTGCTGCTATCCCACGGTACACCTGTACCCATTCCTTATCCGTTGTGCCATTGACTCCGATGAGGGAGGAACTCATAGCATCAAAATACTTCTTGTTTACCCTGAAGAGGGACATATTTTTAAAAGTATTGACTGTAACATGGAAAGCTTTGCGGATACTTTCATGGATAGTTCTATTTAGGGTAAAAAAATAATTCTTGATCATTTAAAATATGTACATGTTTACAATTATTTAGGCTCAAGAGAGTCAGAAAAAATTTCTTCTGCTAATCAGTTGTGCATCAGGAAATTAAGAACAGTTCATGCTAAGCCATTCATGAAGACAAAAGATTCCTTGTCTCTTTACTGGGGAAATGTCCGCTTATATTACTATGTGTGCAGTACAANGTTTGAGCCATCTACTTTTTGGAGAAATAGGGTTAAGTGGGATAGTGAATGCCTGAAATTGCGTACAGCACTCACTTACACGTACCAAGCCGCCTACATTAATTTATTTTACATCTTGGGTGTCTACTTTAAAACTTAATGAGAACCCTGCGTAATAATAGTAATTGTGAATATTAATTAAACAAAAAAATTGAATTGACAGCAAGGTACTTGGACTTTGAGGGTTTGTCCCACCACCTATCCCCTAAGGAAATGGTAGCGACATTAAGTTTTGTTCTCCTTTCAATAACATTTCTTTCTTGTTTACCTTTTACACATTCAATGAAATCCGTTGCAAGCTTTTCAAGTGCTTTAGCAATATCTGTTTCTCCACAATCCTCAAATGCCTTGCCTATCTCCATCAAAGCTGTGCCAAGTAACTCTATTCCTTTGAAAATATCATTGTTTTCAAAGGCAGCGAATGATTCTCTAAATAACTCCACTGTGTGGTTTCCATCTTTGACGCATTTCTCAAAATCAAAGCCTTCTTTGCCCAGTCCTGCTGCTATCCCACGGTACACCTGTACCCATTCCTTATCCGTTGTGCCATTGACTCCAGTGAGGGAGGAACTCATAGCATCAACATACTTCTTGTTTACCCTGAAGAGAACATATTTTTAAAAGTAGTGACTGTAAGATGGAAAGCTTTCCAGATACTTTCATGGATAGCTCTATTTAGGGTAGAAAAATAACTCTTGATCATTTAAAACAAGTACATGTGTACAATTATCTAGACTCACAAGAGTCAGAAAAAATTTCTTCTGCTAATCAGTTGTGCATCAGGAAATTAAGAACAGTTCATTGCTAAGCCATTCATGAAGACAAAGATTCTTTGTCTCCTTACTGGGGAAATGTCTGCTAATATTATTATGTGTTCAGTTTAGAGGAACAAAATTAATTTATTAAATAAAGAGAAGGTAAAACATCCGCAAAATTCATCTTTGCCTACAAGGTACATGTAATCAAGACATTGGTAATACTGTCATCATAGTGGAAAAGATACTCCCACTTTTCTATTTAAACTGAAAGGGTTGACCAGCACTGTTTTAAGCATGACTTGTTATTACAGTATGTACCAGTACTTACAAATAACGATAATCATATTTTCCATTTGGAAGGTAGGATTTAAAAGTGAGAGATCCAGTGGGAATAGCATCCTTGAGAGGGTTCTGTCCACCTCCAACATAATAGTAGTCTATATACATTTCATTATCTGCACCGTTGGGGTACACACCTATAGAACAATTTAAAAAAAATAATGATGTCAGCTTATGGGAGGTTCTATACAGAGTGGGACTGATCATTCACTATGCCATTCACTTTTTTACTGCAGCTTGTTTGTGTTTAAATAATATACAGTGTAGAATGTCAAGACATTTTGGAAGCGTTTTTGGACCTTAAAGTTTAGAGTTTAGATTTCTAAGGGAGGTTCTTTTAGCTTCCTATAAGTACTTCGAAAAAGGGTGCCAAAGTCAGCTTATGAATCTGAAAAGTTGTTGTTGTTGTTGTTGTTGTTGTTTTTGTGAGGACTTCAGTGCCATTAATTCTATGGGAGGTGCAGGTAGCCCAAGTCAACTGTATTAATTTTCTTATTACCTATCCAGTCTTTGTTAGTTGCTTCATCAACCGGGACCTTCCAAGAAACTTTTACTGGACTTCCAAATGAAACAGTTGATACAGACAGGGAGAGTGACCTGTTCTGTTCAATCACTTTGATGTTGTCAGAAGCACTAAGCTACAAAACAAAATAAAAATTTTCCCTTTCAGTTAATGCAGCTGCAAGGTGGAACCGTAACAATAAAGTTACATGTACTTGAACAATGCCAAAGAGGGGCCACTGACATATTTTTATTTAACTTAACCTGTATGGAGACGTACTAATTATCTTTTTATAATCAGAGATCTGAAAGACTTCCTTATAGATAAGCAAAAAAAAAAAAAGAAATGAGATTAACTTTTAAAAAGAGGCTTTTAAAAACAACTTGAAAGAATTATGTTATGTCACTCTATGTTCCTTTGGAACATCTTTTACCACTGACTAAAATTGGCGGTAATATGACATTCCCTTAATATGAACTTACTGCATATGCAGCCCACCATCCTTTCTCATCATTCCTAATTGAGACATGACTGGCTATGTTTCGCCCAGGGGATGGTACTTGTTGCCAGGAGTTCCACACCCCACCCCGCTCAAGTTCCCACATGTGCCACAGGCCTCCTTCCTTTCCAACTGTAAAAACCTGTATGTGAATTGCAGTTGAAAATCAATAATATTAACCCGCATGGCATGGAAGACACTGGAATTTAAAATGGATACGGGGTGATGCCCAACTGTGGAGCTCCAAGGACTTGCAGAGTCTCATCATGGTGTTAAGTGACGAATTTAGATTATCCCAAAAATTATGCACTCTTTTCCATGCAAACAGCCTACTTGGTTTTTAACCTCTGTACTGAATATTCAGGGTCACAGTGATATCAAAATAATGATGTTATTATTTTTGTCGGGTCAAAACTTATTTTAACTCAACTATGGAATTTGCATATGGCTTTGAAAGTGCAAATACTGCAATTTTCTGAATACAGTACCTTTTAAGATATCAATGTACCTGTGTCTCTTGACTGACCACGAAAGGTCGTGCAATTCACATGTGCAGGTATTTCTCACACCTGACTTTGTTTTCATGGAAGTCTGCATGCTGGCAATCATTCATCATACTAGACATAAAGTTTATTATTTCATATAACATTATGTTTATATAGTATCAACCCAGTGGCAGATCCAGACTTTCAGATAAGGGGGGGAGGGGGGGGGGGTTGGTCATCCAGACCCTGAGATAAGAGGGGGGCCCAATCTTAAAAAAAAATTGGGGGGCCTCAGTTTGGTCTAAAAATAAGGGGGGTAGGCTCCCGGGCCTCTCCCCCGGATCCACCACGGCAACCCACACACAACCTCATACCTCAATTCCAAGATGTATGTTTGTTCCTATACTGATTGGGTTATTGGAAGAAACTGACTCAGGAATCTTGTTACTTATCTTGTACCAAATACTCCACGTGCACCACCCCCAGGGATTGGGAACCTTGTCACAAGTGGTCTGCCATATATGGTGAATATAGCCATCATTTCCATAAATGAAAACATTCAGGACACCATTGAACACACTGTGGCTCATGGCATGTACTACTGGGGCATGCTGTGTCTCAGGGGCACCATATCCAGTTTCATCCCATGACACCCATTTCGTTGGACCTAATGTTAGTAAAGAGTGCAAATTGATGTGAATTACTATCTGTAAAAAAGATTAAGCTACTGAGCTGACACACCCACAGTCATCTCAGTATTTGTCTCTCTTTCTGTCAATGCAAGAGAACCAATGAATGTAGGAGATACAATGGCACGCTATTCTCGAGCAACCAATCTGTGTCTGCATGGAAACGATAAGAGATGACTGGGGATGGGTCTGTTATTTGACTATGGCATGGTGCAAAGAAATACCTACTGACATGCTATAAAGCTAAGGGAAGTCAGAGTCATTTGAAATTCTTTGGAAACCAAGGGTGGGGCTGATCAAAAGACAGGTATAACTTTTCACAGAGGAAACAATCATTTTGATATAATGAGTAGGTGTTTAGTCATTGATCAATAAATTGCATTTAGGTTGAGTTGGCTCCACATTAAGAAGAATACAGAAGAATATTTATGATAATTTTATGGCAGTTTAAATGATCAATGGACATTTTTTCATGACTGAAAAGTTTAATTATATCATCAGTAACTCTAGCCACTAATAATATTATTGAAAAAAATGCTGGTACTTGTTTGCCAGGTCCTGTACATCTTGTTATTTTCCATGACTGCAAATGCTTCTAAATACTAAAGGGTAGACAAGAAACCAGTATAAGGAAGTGATAATTAAAAGTTGCTTGGCTGATTTGATTGCCATGTGTAGTGAATTCAGTCAAGAGTAAAACACTATGATTAAATGGGCCACTGGCCTACTAAATACCATCCTTGTACTAAAAAAAGTCTGCAATAGTGTTATTACTTATGAGTTTTTGGTTATAATGAATTACACTTCACAGAAAGAACCTAAATTTTATTAGTAAAAATGAAGTACAGGCTGGTACTGTCACATTCAATTTTTTCAAAGGTTTTTCTTTTGCATTCGCTGTTAACACCCAATTGTATCCATAGGATACAAAGAATCAATTATAATCAATAGATCAATATTTTATTTGCCAATTTCTAATGTAAGTTTATTACATGTGATCTTTTAGCAGGAGAACTCTACAAGCTCAATTTAGCTTTTCCAAGATAGAACTATCAATAGTATTATTTTTTTCATAACTGTATACCTACCTACCAGTTTATCTGCCAAGCTTTCAATAGGTGTGGCATCGAAGAGTACAACAGACAGATTAATAGGGAGTTTAAGCAAATGCATTTTTGAGTGATGCATATCATCCAGAAGTGTTTTCCCCTGTAATATTTCTTGATGCTACCAATTCCCCAATTCTTAGTATCTTTGCTGTTATATAAGAGACAACTTGACACCAGAAGACCACTTCCAGGTGTTGTGCATCACTCAAGAATGTCTTTGCTTAAACTCCCTAATGTCTTGAATACCTTGGAAAAGCCATTAAAAGCTATTGCAACATCAGTTTGTAATGACACAGATGATCCACCAATCAGAACCCAGTTGGACCAGTTTCCATTCACTTCCTGTGCCCAGTACAGTCGGGAGGCTTTTGTGACAGATCTTGAGAAGATTGTGAGCTTGTTCTGATAGGTCAACACTGATACGGTGTCTTTGCCATTTAAAGTGACTCCTACCATAAAAATCATTTACAACAATTAAAGTTAAAAAGTTCTTTTTTGCATCTAGCTTTAAAATGCTCTTCAGTTCACCAGAAGATACAGGCCAGTGCCCATTGAGGCAAACTTCAAACTGTTGCTATGGTATACTCAGACTATTTTAACATCATATTGAGCCACAAACAGTCCACTCTCTTTTCAACTCTGTGTCCACGTTGCTGGAAAAAGCAGGAAAAATTAATAGGGAAATGGTTGGGGGGGGGGGGGGGGGGGGC